TAATGTCTTAAAAATACGAAACGCATTATGACGCCTATTCTTCGCATTGGCACGCCTAAACTTGTGATTCTTGATTCTCGGTCTCGACGTTTCGCAACGCATTACGCATTTTAGAACATTGTTTTAAAATGTTACTCACTTGATGTTAGGATCCTATATTTTTTTACTTAAGATAAGCTCGAGTCTCAATAAGTTGAGCATAACGTTCGCGCACATTTATACAAATATTTAAAGTACAAACGAGATGGAATATATGCTATACCAAGTTCCAACCATTATTTTAGTCCCAAAACTAGGACGCCAGAAGTTATTTGAAGATATGTTGAAAATAAAAATTAAAAAAACATATAGTAAACAAATTTAAATGAATAAATATGAATCCTCTATAATTGTTTAAACTTTTAGATAAAATGGTTTAACGAAATTATTTCTTGAAGTCAAATTTAAGTGGGTGTTTGGTGGAGATTAAAATAAGATTTTTAGTAGATTGTGATAGAAGTTTTTGAAATGTGTAGTTGAAAAGCAGTGAAACCCATGAAAGATGTGGTTAATATTGATTGTTTGATTTTGATTTTAATTAAAATCTGATTTTAATTCGAAACAAACGAGGCTTAAATTAGTCTAGAGAACATACCATCTTACTTTTAAAGGTGGGCAAGTTTCCATTTTTGTGTGGGACTCAAAAAGGACAAATTGGAAATGTGGATGACACCATAGCAAAGTACAATGAGAGAGGAACAGTTTGTAGTGGGATATATGCTTTTATTATTGGCAATAGTAAAGCGATACATCATTGATTCAATGTTTACAATCACGGTTCAAATCAAAATGAAAAGTTAGGGACCAATGGTGCAACGTCGATTAGAAGTTGAAAATCAACTAGCTCATTTTTGTAAGTCGGGGACTAAGTTGCAACATGGTGAAGCATTTGAAGACCAACGGTGCTATTTTTCCTAATTACGAATATTATTATCTCGAATTCATAATTTTCACGAACAATTCATATGGGAAAATGATGAAACTTCAGTTGAGTAGACGGCATACATAACGAACTTATCAATGATTGGAATCAAAATATACTTATGATTAGACATAATTACGTAATCTTAAATTTACGATTTATAAATAGTTTGTGTGAAAATTGATTAGCCCGCCAAAAAATAATCCTAGGCCCGCATCTTTATTTTCTATATTTATAATCAATATATTTATTGACTTTTTCCTGATTTTATTCCATTGTCATGACATGATCTCGACATTCACGCACGAAATCTTTCAATGGGTGAGGCCCAGAGCAAGCCATAGTTTTAGTTACATATTAGGAGCTAGTGATTTT